GGGGGGGGGGGGGGGGGGGGGCTGCAGAACGTATGAATCACCTAGGAAAAAAATCCCCAATATTTATTCAGCTAGAGCAGCTAGGCTCTGAAAAGGGAAGTTAGTTTTTTTTCTGGACCTGATGGCCGAGCAATGTTCTTGTTTATCCAGCAAAATATCACACGGGGTAATATCCACCTCACACCACATGTATTTTTTCCATCAGTTGTCTTGCCTAGCCAAAATACTGGCTGCGCACAACCTGACGGCCAACTTCACCCACTACCCACGAGACCTGCTGCTTTTCTTTAAGTGAGTATCTCAAGTGAGTGCATTTGCTTTGGGGCTTAATCACATTAGCAAGCTTCTTAAGACCCGATTCAGCAGTATTTGCTCATGAAAACTGCTCTTACTGATGTGCAGTGACACCCAGCGGTGAGCAGGGCTTGGTTTTACAGCACAGGCCACTTGTTGGAGAGCTTGGTTAGTTTTGGAGGCTAATTTTCCTTAATGAGCACGGCTGAAAATGAGACAGGGCAAAGGCAACAAGAGTTGAAATCTGCACGTCAAAAGGTCTGCAGAAAGCATCAGAGTTGGTCAGCTGGGCTAGGATATCATGGGATGGGCAGAATTAGTGCAACCTGCCACAGTAGATGAGGAAAGCAGGTAGTATGGTCCAACCAAGCCCTGGGACAATATGTAGGGATGTTGTAATTAAATCACTTCATTAATTTCATAGACATTAGGGCTGGAAGGGACCTTGGAAGATCGTCGAGTCCAGCAGTTTGTAAGGTGCAGGGTGCCAAACATGATTGATCACATGCAGGCAGTGATCCAGGCTTGACGTAAGCATTTCTAGTGTATAGAAGAGTCAACAGATAAAGAGTGAAAGGATAGAAATATAATTAATGTCAGTGAACATATGTTTATGGAAAATAGGTCTTGTCAAATACACTTGATTTCATTATTTGATGAAATTGCAAGTTTGGCTGATAAAGGTATCTGCACAGAGGGAATACTTAGTTATTATTAGGCAGTTGACTTGGTACCACACAATGTTCTGCTTAAAAATAGCAGTGTCAAC